GAACCTTGGGCTGCCAGTGGGATCATCCCTGCCCAGCCCAGGAGCTGCTGCAGAGCCCAGGGGAGGGCAGGGCTGGGAGGGCTGGTTGCTCCCTGGCCAGAAGCTGCCCCTGGGGTGCAGCTTGGTGTGAGGAGCCTCCTGGGTGTCCACTCAGCTCCTGGGAACCTCTCTCCTGCTTGGAGCTCTGCCGTGCCCTGAGCTGCTCTGGTTTTCCATCCCCTACCCTGGAGACAAAATCCCCTGGGGTGGGAGCTGCTCTCTGCTCCCCCGGGGTGCTGGAGGGGGAGGATCTGGGCTTTGAGCTCACCCAGACTGCTCAGCAGAGGGGGAGGAGATGGTTCCTTCTCCTCTGATCCCATTGTGCAGTTCTCTGAGCCCTGATCTCTCCCCGGGGAGCTGCAGGGTGTTACGTGCACCCCAAAGCCCAGGAGACAGGGGCTGGGGAAGGCTTCCCACTTGGAAACGAGCCTAGTGGGAGGATTTTCCTTGGGGGGCAGCTTCCCAGGGGGGTCTGAGCTGGGGGGAGCTGAGCATGGCTCTCCTACATCAGAGCAGGGCTGTCGTCTCTGCTGCAGGAGACACCCCACTCTTTTGAGAGGATCTGGGGAGGTCTGAGGCCATGAAATCACCCCAGAGGGAGCTGAGAGCAGCCCCTGCTCCTCTCCTCAGCCCCCATCACCCTCTCTTGGCCACGGCTGCAGTTTTCAGCAGCTCCCCTGCGGGCATCTGGCTGCCAGCCTGGGGTTGCAGTGACCCACTTACTAAAGACACAGCAACAAACCTGCTCCTGCTGCAAGCCCAGCTCAGCTGCTCCTGCTGCAAGCGCAGCTCAGCAGAGAGCACTCAGCTCCGGAGGGGCAGGGGCAGGGGCTGGGGGCTCCCCAGCACAGCAGCACCCACTGGGGCACCCCCACATCCCACAGCAGCCGGGGCTGTGTCCCCAGCGGTGTGAGAGGGAGATTCAGGCTGGGGAGAGGGAAGAAGTGTTGGATGCTGAGGGTGCTGAGCCCCTGGCCCAGGCTGCCCAGAGAGGTGGGCGCTGCCCCATCCCTGGCACCATCCCAGGGGAGGTTGAGGGCTCTGAGCAACCTGCTCTAGTTGAGATGTCCCTGTCCCTGCAGGGGGTTGGATGAGGTGACCTTGAAAGGTCCCTTCCCCCCCAAACCCCTCTGGGATTCTGTGAAATCTTCAGCCTCTGAGCATGGGGATGGCTGGAGGTTGTCCCTGCTGGGGCTCCCTGCTCCCCTTGGGGTGTTCTCCTTGCCTCTGCTCCAGGCTCTGCCTGCTCTGCAGGGACCCAGCTCTGGTGCCCTTCAGGCAGTAACTGTTGAACCAGCAGAGGAATGGGCTCCAGGTGCTTTCCAGTGGCAATGAGTTCATCACCACGAGTGGCTGTTGATTTCCCCCCACGTCGGGGGGCTGGGGTGCCCCTGCCTGCTGGGCTGGCTGTGTGGTGGCATCTGCTTTGAGTCTCCTTCAACAAAAACCCCCAACACCCCCTCTCCTTTGCCCTTCAGGCAGTAACTGTTGAACCAGCAGAGGAATGGGCTCCAGGTGCTTTCCAGTGGCAATGAGTTCATCACCACGAGTGGCTGTTGATTTCCCCCCACGTCGGGGGGCTGGGGTGCCCCTGCCTGCTGGGCTGGCTGTGTGGTGGCATCTGCTTTGAGTCTCCTTCAACAAAAACCCCCAACACCCCCTCTCCTTTATGTCAGAGAGCTCTGGGTGTGGAAGTTGGGGTGGTACCTCCACCAGGAGAGGTTTAGATTGGGTATTAGGAGAAGTTTCTTTCCTGCAAGAGTTGCCCAGGGCAGTAGTGGAGTCCCCACCCCTGGAGGGGTTCCCAAGCCGTGGAGATGTGG